GGATTCCTGCTGAAGACAGGCCAAGGTGATCAGACATCACTTGGGAGATGGTGGAGAATGAGGAACCCATCAGATGTCAAGGAAAGTAGTATTGAGGGTAGGGCGGTTCTGATTAAACTGACTAAGCAGCATTCTTGCTAAAAGTAGATTTTATAAGGGAGTGCACAGAAGGGCCTAGGAGAAGGTTTGGGAGCCTGACTAAAGTTTGGTCAGGCCAAGAATCTTTGTCAGGGACTAGATAAAAGTAATTTTACTGTTTTACCCAATGAGTCTGAAAACCTTATTTTTAGATACACTGTAGAAAATGTTTGATATACTTAGTTCAAGGTAGTGTTTTTTAAATGAAGTGATAATGAGGCAGATGTTTCAAATATTAAAATTCAAATTCGTAGAAAGTCAATTAAGATAAAAGATTTCATGATTTGAAAACTTGTTGCAGGAGAGAATGGGACTTTTCTGGTCTTCATGACCCAAATATAAACACATATATTATTTTAAAGAGTTAGTTAATTTGTGCTACAAGTTTTATAACAGTTTTCTTTTCAGCAGATACATGGTACGTGATCTTCCTCTCAAAACATAGCTTTAGACAAATATACCTGAAAATAAAACTCATGTACACTTGGAATGTTCTGTAATCACAAAAACAAAATCTCATTAGGATATCTTAAAGTTAGGATATTGAATTGAATTTTTTCTTACATGTGGTAACTTGTGATTTACATAAAACTCTCTACTTTTCACTAATTCATTGTTTTTATCATGGGTCTGTTGCTTGATGTAGCAATTCAACTACTCAATCAGAAATACATTTTCTTATCATATCCTGTTGTCTATGACTTAATCACAGTTTATAAATCTCTTCATGTGTGTGTTTATATTTTTTAGTGTCTGTCTTTACTACTAAACTGAAAGCTTCCTGAGGGCAGGGCTCCTGTCTATCAACTACTCTTAGCTCCTGGCTTGTTCAGTGTCTGACACCCTGGGTTTTCAGGTATTTGATAAATAAATGAATGGTAGCTACTTTGACAATAACTTCCGGGACAGTTTTCAGAAATCCTCGTAGGGTTGCTTCTAGGAGAGGCAGAGGAGCCGCAGCAGTAGGAGAGGGAAGACGGGGTAGGCAGAAAACTTCAACGTTAGTGAGGCATACTACAAAATCCATGGTTTTCACGACAAGTAATGCTTGACATAGAATTTAATGGTTTTTGTTTTTGTTTTTGTTTTGACAGAATTATAGTGAACATCATTCACAACACTTCTGACTACCTGCCCAAAGTTTTACGATTTTTGAATGTGGCTTTTGATAGCTCAGGTGATTCTTTAATTGCTGGGGACCATCAAGGAAATATCTATGTTTTTGACTTGTGTGGAAACAGGTGAGCAGATACTTTGGATATTTACCAAGTAATTAACTCCTTGACTGTTTTAGTACCTGCTATTAATTATTCATTCAGAAAGATTTATTAAGTTCTTACTGTATTTCGGGCACTTTGTAAAACTCTGTCATAAGTGTTGGTAGAATAACATGAGAGAGAATAGAAAGATAAAATGGTTGGATTTTTTTTTCAGAGAATTAAAGTTCTGGTTTTAACAGCATCTCTAGTAGCTTTTTCTTCCCTTAAATTTAAAATTTTATTATTGCTAATTTATCAGTTAATGTCTGTTAATTGTTTAGAAAGAACACAGTTTCCTTTGTACATTATTGTCAGTGTACCAGATCTAGGAGTTTTAAAGAATTGATCCTTACTCTTCCTCGTCTTCTCTTCCTTTGCCGGACAATTAGTGAAAAAGCAATTAGGTGGGATTGATTAAGGCAGGCATCTGTGCAGTGAGGGTGGGTGGATGGGAGGGAAAACTGTGTTAGCCCAGCCAGAGAGTCAGAACATGTCTGCCTGGGGGCAGGGCAATCATGGGAAAGAGGGGAGGTTTGGTCAAATGAGTAAATAGACTGAGGATGATGGGGGCCAGATTCCTCACTATTGGAAAGGGGAGTTACAAACATGAAAAGAGAGAAAACTCGACTGAACCCTGTGGAACTGGATTGTAGTTGGGTATATCTGTGTGAACTCCTGGTTTTGAGCATATATAGACAGACATAGAAATGAACAGATGTGTGTATATGAGAAAGTGAATGAATTATATGTACATATATTTCCTAGCTTTGTCCACGCATAGGACCTGGGAGCAGTAACACCGCAGTAGTAATGAATATACCTAGTGCCCAGTTCTTTTCTAAATATCACTCTCTATTACAAGAAATCAGGGATCCTTGCAGAAAGAGCCAGTTTCAGGATGGAGGCAGGGAGAGTACAAGATGAGCCTGGAACACTTTGTAGCCAGAAAGAAGGACTTGTTCAGAGACTGACGGGGATGTGTCAAAAAGACATAAACGTCAGCTTGAAGGAGCTCTCTCTGGGCAGATTGGAGACAATTTGCGTTTCAAAATAATTGATAGTGATGGGTCATAATCCACTGAATGAAACAAATTCGTGAATTCATGCTGTAATCAACAAACAGATAGTTTAATGAGAATGGATATTTGCAGAGTCGCAAAGTACCTCCCCACAAAGTATTTATTAATTAAAGAGGAAAAAAAGAGTAATTTTACAGTGAAGAAACCTGGCCAGCCACCACCTTATCAAATGATTAAAATTAAATTAACCAGTAGTGGGACAAATCAAAGTTTGTGTGCCACCTTATAGGGTGCAGTGATAAGACCAGTGTTGCTTCTCTGATAGTCCTGTCTACCAAAGACAGGTAACCTGAGTCTATTCAGTAGAATCAGCAGGCAAAGCTGAATTAAGGGCATTGTAGAACAAGGCTGGCCTGTGATCTTCACAAGGGTCAAGGTCATGAAAGTTGTAGAAAGACTGAAGACTGTTCCAGACGGAGGGAGCCTAGACACATGGCAAGTCAAGGCTTGGACCTGGACTGGTCCCTTTGCTGCAAAGGACATTATTAGGACAGTGGGCAAAACTGGGGTCTGGGGATTAGATGGTAGTAATATATAAATGTAATTTTCTAATTTTGATGGTTATATTATGATTATATAGGAGAATTTCCTTGTCTGTGGGAAACGTGATCTCGGTAACTTATTCTCAAATAGTTCAGGGAAAGAAGAGGTCATATATGATTTATCTATGTGTGATTTACTAGATAGAAATCTGTTAATCATTGTTTCTACTCCTTACCAAAAAAATAATAGTCACAGTTTTCCCACCCTTTATTCTTGCTAACCTACCCAGCCAGTTCCCAATCTTTTTTTTTTTCCCTGGCACGCGGGCCTCTCACTGCTGTGGCCTTTCCCGCTGCGGAGCACAGGCTCTGGACGCGCAGGCTCAGCGGCCATGGCTCACGGGCCCAGCCGCTCCGCGGCATGTGGGATCTTCCCGGACCGGGGCATGAACCCGTGTCCCCTGCATCGGCAGGCGGACCCTCAACCACTGCGCCACCAGAGAAGCCCAGTTCCCAATCTTAAATCAATACACCTGTCTCTTCTTTGCTCCCACTAAAGAAAATAGCAGACTAAAGAAAATAAAAATAATTGTTGATTGACTCCATTACAGAGTAAATGCGCTTCAGCATCAGTGACGCTAGTACGTCATTTGCTTGTATCTATTGTCATTTACTTTTCCCATTCTCTGAATATTCCAAACTTTTACCAGTTTCCGTGATTCCGTATGTTCAGACTCTACTCTTATTCTGACTGCCTAGCCTCCTAATTCATGAGCAAATAGACGTCCTCAAGCTCCCCTTTCTTCTCAAGGGAACCTCAAATATATCTGTAAGTTCAGCCATCCATAACTCTTTGCCACTTCATTTGTAGAAATAGGTGATCCTAATTTCTTCCAGCACTAATCTCTATCTTCTATGGCCGCCCTTGGGACTTTGCACCATGAGTATTCCTCTCTTTTATTCAGCCCACTGTCCCTTTTCTCTCTGTAAATATTCACATCTGGGCAGAGGTGTAAGTGGCGTAGCTGTGACTTGAAATCAGGCCTGTCTGATTCTAAAGCCCACTGCAGTGGGCTCCCTCTTTCTAATCGCCTAATCCAGTGGTCTCTTCTCATTTCTATTTGGGCATCTGTCCCTGGCCTGCTTCCTTCCATATTCTAGGTATTCTCTTTAATAATCTTATCACCATCAAGCCTCAGACTTCAGCTGCCACGTAACATTGTTAACTCAGACCTGCTTCTGCCACCCACTGAGGAGCTTCTAGGTTGGACTGTCTGATGCGGTGGGTACTAACTTGCATGGAGCTCTTTAGCCCTTGAGAGGCGGCTAGTCCAAGTTGAGATGGGTTTTGAAGACTTACTATGAAAAAAAATGTAAAATATCTCTAACAGTTTTTTATCAGTGAAATGTTAAAATGGTAATATTTTAGGTACACAATGAATTAAGTTAAATATGTTAAGATTAATTTCATATGTTTCTTTTTACTTTTTTTTTTTGGCTCCTAGAAAATTTTAAATTATGCACGTGGCCTGCATTCCATTTCTTTTGGACAGCACGGCTCCAAATGCTTTTCAAGGGCCTTAAACTCTACATGTTTAAAACCAGAATGATTGTTTCCTACCTCCACGTGGGTTCCTTTTTTGCCTAAGTTTGAAACTTTCATTTTCTAGTAAATGAAACTCTGGCTAGGTGCCAAGTACTCTGCTAAGTACTTAACATACGTTATTTCATTTAATCATCAGATATTATTTCATTTAACTGTCACAACAACCTTATGAGACATCTTTTCTTATCTTCATTTCACGTATGAGGAATTCCTGATTCCTCCGTTTTCACCCCATGTTCCATGCATCACCAGGCCTTTCTCCACTTGACTTCTGACACCTCTCCTATTCGTCATTTCCATTTTATACCCGTAACTCTGGTTGAGAGTCTCCGTAGTAGCTTTCTTAATCATCTCTTCTTGTCCCCCTGTCCATTTGCCATCTCTGCCAGAATCCTCTTCCTGAAAGACATGCCTGACCATGATTCTGCTGTGCTCAAAAATTCTTGATGGCTTCCCATTCTGTGTAAGTAAAATCCAAACTCCTTTACATAGCAGGTAGCACTCTTCGTAATCTGTTTTTGTTCTGCCAAAATGGGAGCTCATTTTTCTGGGTTTCATTTTCTTCATCTCTAAGGACTCTTCCAATGTGAAATTTTACAATTATTGGCAGAATTTCTGATACTAACGCAGTAATCTCTTCATAGGTTTAATCTTGTTCAGCGAACATCACAAGCTTGCACAGCTCTGGCCTTTAATCTTCATAGGAAGTCTGAATTCCTTGTGGCGTTAGCCGATTATTCTGTTAAATGTTTCGATACAGGTAAGAAGTCCTATTTCTCTTTTGAAGCAGAGTGAAATGCAGACAGAAATACTGCAGGGAGTTGGCTGATCTGTATAGTCTGAGGGATCAGACCCCACCCAATGACCCTCACTTCAGACACTAGCCACAGGTTTGGGGGTCCCAAGGCCATCCTCACATCAGATCAACAGACTACAAACTTGGGGTTCCCCACAACTTCCCCTAGGTTTGGGAGTTCACTAGAATGACTCACAGAATTCAGGGAAGCACTATGCTTATGGTTATAGTTTTGATGTAGCAAAAGGATACAAATTAAAACTAGCCAAAGGAAGAGACGCATAGGGTGGGATCTGGGAGGCTCACAAAAGTGAAGCTTCCATTGTCCCCAGGGACACATTACCCTCCGGCATCCATGTGTGGCCATCCGCACCGAGTATTACCACACCGGAAAATTCACCCAGGCTCTGACTTCCAGAGTTTTTATTGAGGCTCCATAAGATAGGCATGACTGGATTATTGACCACTTGATTTTGTGGGGTTTTTTTGTTTTTTGTGTTTTTTTTGCGGTATGCGGGCCTCTCACTGTCGTGGCCTCTCCCGTTGCGGAGCACAGGCTCCGGACGCGCAGGCTCAGCGGCCATGGCTCACGGGCCCAGCCGTTCCGCGGCATGTGGGATCCTCCCGGACCGGGGCATGAACCCGTGTCCCCTGCATTGGCAGGCGGACTCTCAACCACTGTGCCACCGGGGAAGCCCAACAAGGGATTTTTTTTTAAAACATAAAAACTTAGAAGGATACAATAGATTAAAAGGTAGTACTTATTTTTTTTAAAGGTAGTACTTTAAATTTAGCTTTATGAAAAACGCATTACGTTATCCTTTTCTCATTTCACTGAAGGCCAATGAAAAATTGAGCATTAAGTAATGCCAGACTTCAGACTGGTGTTTGGAAACCACTCCTCCCTTCCCAAGGGTTTATATGTTCCTCTATCTTCAGTTTTGACCTACTTTGTGTCTTAGTGTTTCCCAGATTTACATCTTGCTTTCTGACTGTTCTCCCCACTTCCATCTTTCTGGAGGAAAAAAATATGACCCTAAAAGTATACCATGCCTATTATAGAAAACTTAGAGACACAGAAAAGCATAAAGAGAAAGTAAAAATCACTGTAATTTTATTACCCATTGATAATTATTATGAAGAGTTTTTGGTGTTTTCTCTACCAGACTGTTTTCTCTGCTTGTGTGTCACACACACACACGTACACACACCAAATCAATGTAAAAGATCAAATTTCTTACCTCTTCTCACACTGCTAAGTCTGTCCCTCCTTGTGTATTTATGTCAGGTAGTAGAATCACCACCTGCTTATGTAACTAAACCAGAGCCACTGGAGTCTCAACTCCTCTTTTGTCTCAACACATCCACTTAATCACTGAGTCCTTTGATATTTCTTTTGTAGCTCTTGAGTTTGTTCCTTTCTCCATTGCCACATTCTTAGTATAGACCCTCCTTATCTCCTGCCTGGGTTATTACAGCAACAGATAAACTAGTCATTTTGTAATCTCTTCCTCCTTTCTAGTATATCCATCATATCTTCAAAGTGCTTTCTGAAACAGACCAGATACGGTATTCTTCTGCGTAAAACTATTTCAAGAGAAAGCCCAGGCTCCATCACGTCACATTCAAGGCTGTTCTTAAACCCTCTTTCGGCCTCCTCTCCTCCAACCTCGGTGTTACACGTTACTAACATATGCCCTACGGTGCACTTCATCAACCAGCCACCGGCTTCCATTCTTTTTAGATGTTAACGGAGATGGAGGGACCTCATATAATCCCTGGCCATCAGCTGAATCAGTTCTCGGATGAAATATAGGGTTTGACCTGTATATCTGTTTTCCTTTTTCCCACAGTCACCAAGCAGCTAGTTAGCTGGATGAGAGGACATGAATCGTCGGTGTTCTCGATCTCTGTGCACGCATCCGGGAGATACGCCATCACTACTTCTTCTGATACAGCACAGCTATGGGACTTGGATACCTTTCGAAGAAAAAGAAAGCTGAATATTCTCCAGTCTGTGGGTATACAAAAGGTCAGTGAAGGGGGACACATCTTGGTCTATTGTGCTTTTCAGGCTAGTTTCTTGATCAGCAGAATATAGGTATTATAAGTAATGGTTCACTTTGTCCCACTTAGCTATGCCTTCATAACTCAGCAACAAGCAAACCTTTTTTATTATTTTTAATTATTATTATAGTGTGTAACTTCAACTTTAGTTAGGTGTTAGTTTTTACTTAGCTGGTTGATTTCGTTTTATTTCTTAACCCAATTACGAAAAATTTCAAATATATAGCAGATTTTATATATATAGAAGAATTTCACAGTGAACACATGTACACCCATGGTCTAGATCCTACTACACTATACTGTACTTACATGTTAGTAAACTATATGATGGATCTATCCATCTTTCTGTTCCTCTGTTTATTAACTCATCTTTTTTTTTTTTTGCATTTTTTTTTTTTTTTTTTTTTTTTTTTTTTTTTTGGCCTCTCACTGTTGCGGTCTCTCCCATTTGCGGAGCACAGGCTCCGGACGCGCAGGCTCAGTTGCCATGGCTCACCGGCCCAGCCCGCC